CTGGCTGTTCGCTGAATCTGTCAAATTCTGCTCGGCTCAAAGTCACTACCACTTTGCGGCTTCTTCGCAGTGTTAGTGGAGTTGCTCTTGAAAACCGTGCCTACAAGCACAGGAGCCTGGCTATTTTGCAATTGCACGAAGTTGCTTTAGCAAAGAGATGGCCCACCGTTTCCACAGTCCGGCTATTGTGTGTTCCTGGCCTATAGTTGGCAGCAGTGCTTTGTGTCATTCTCCATCCTCTCAACAATGCTCAGTCTTATGTGGGCAACTGTTGATGTTCGTTCTCTCGCGCTAGAGCTGTTCAAGGATTTTCCCCGTTTGTGCTTGGTGCTGGGCTTGGTGCGCAGCTATTCGGGGAAATCCTGACGGTCCTGACCCCACATTGCTGCTTCCTTTGCAACTGCGACGATGCATTTGACCCTCAGCGCCGGGCGAGCGCATCCGTGTTCTCGAAGTAGTTGCTCCAGTAGGGTCGAATCGCCTTCTGCCCACCAATGTCCCAAACGTTCAACTTGAAGCCATCTTGCATGATGCTCTTGATGTTGAATCCCTGAAGCGGGGCGGGTAGAGGCACGGCAGATATGCAGATGACATGTAGCATCCACAAGCCTAGGCGGATACCTTGAAGGCTTGACAGCGCCAGCACGAACCCACAAAATCTCGTGCCTGTGTCGGCATAATGTGGGAGATGTCCTCCTCGGACCTACCAAAACGACAGCAAAGCCACCGTGCTCTTCCGTGCATCTGGGACCCACCCTGACCGAATCTGAGTTGGGCACAGCTTCTTGAGGATGGTGGTCTTGCCCGCATTGTCCAATCCCAACACGAGGATCCGGGCTTCCTTGTCGTCCTGTGCACTCATGTGGCAGCTTTTGGAAGGCATCTGCCCGGCGGTCCGGCGGTCCTTCTTCATCTTCTTCAAGATGTTGAGCAACCCCATTGCAAGTCTGTTTGGTTTCGCACAAGGAGGAACGCTGTCGGCTTGTGGCAAATGCTGCGGATGCAGGCCGAGTCCAAACAAGGAAGCAGGCGCCAGAAACCCCATCGGAACGCACAGTCAGCTGTGAATCCGGCTGCCTTGTAGTCCGGACACATCACTTCCCCAGACTTTGCATCCGCTTGGCAACCCTTACGCGTAAGGCAAGTACTACATAGATTCTACGGTCTCAGAAAATCTCAGAAATGTCGCGGGCTGAAGGTGAGGCCATGCGACAGCAGAATACCAGCAGCAGCAAGAGAAAGAGACTGCTTAATCTGCTTAACACGAGTACTCACCCGGCAGTCATACAGCAGAAAAGCTAAACAAGCAAACCGCAACCGACGAGCAGCCAGCCCGGAAGTAGACGGCCAGATGCTCTATAGGCGCGTGTGGGGCTTGCGTTGTGAAGCTCAGAGCTTAGGGTGTGCAGGGGTGTGTACATATGTTCGTCCTGTTTCTGCTTCCACATGTTTGAATACAATACATGAATTTAAATAATCACGCATGCGAGACGGCGACAAGCTCTCGGGACGGGTGTTCTTCTCCAAACACCACAGCCTGAAGCCTCTGACAACCCGGAAGTGGCATCGCCGGCGGACAACGCAATTGCAGGACTATGTTTGGACGACGCCTGTACGTAAGAGCAGTGCCCTTGGGCCATCACAGTCATGCTCCACTCTGACTCACTTTGAACTCGATGTCGCGTTGCTTTGACCTTTCTCGGCGCCTCGTGACAGTAGTAGACGAGGAGGCGAGAAACCTCTGAGGCAGCACCGCGCCTGACGACGAAGCTTTTGTGGAGCTCGCCTGCGTGGAACTTGCCTTTTCGGAGTTTGTCTCCGTGTCCTTGGAACTTGCCTCCTTGGAGTTCGCCTCCATAGTGGAATTCGCCCCGGTGGAGTTCGACTCCGCCTCCGCTTCTGCCTGCGCCTTTCTGCAGGCGGGATCGGAGGGCTTCTTCATTCAGAACGCAGGCCTCCTTCATTTTCTCCTCTGCCTTCTTCTTTGCCTCCGTGCCTTAGTACTGTTGCAGTTGAAAGCTCCAAAAGAGCGTTGTACGCCTGTGGCAGACAAAGGGGCGCAATTTGTGAACCAATTGCTTCTCAATGTCCATTCCGCGACTCAGCTCCTTCACAAACTCCTCGTGGCCTCGGATTGCGTATTTGAACATGACAGGTGGTGCACTCTTGCCAATCTGCAACTCACCAATGGCGTAGCACTAGCCCTGTGCACCAACTCTCTTGCGAGCTGCGCGTGTTCTCCTGAAGCCACATGTCCTTGCATCAGAAGAAACGGTCGCCCCGCCCACACACATCGCATGGCCCTGCTCCACACGTCAAGGACGCCAAGCAACGGCCGTGTCCACGACCGGGCCCTTGACTTGATCTTCGTACTGTTTGGTTTCCTGCTTGAGCCTCCGGCCAGGATTTTTTTTGCCAGGACATGACTGCACGGACGACTGCACCAGGCAGCCGGCTTCGCGATCTGACCGGCCGTGTCCGCATACGTAAAGGCCTCATCCTGGCTTCGCGACTCGCGACCACTGCACGGATTTTTTTTGTCTGGGATCTGGGCTCACCTTGGCCGACTCAGAGCCCTTGGCGCCATCCTGAGACCACGAGTCGCTTCAATGGCATGGAGTGAAGTTCTCCGGACATGGCCCACCTGAGCCGAATCGGATGCATTGGCGCCGTCCTGAGATCACGAGAGTCGCCCAAAAAAGAGGCACGCGTTGCCACCAGGCTGTAGTAGGAGGACATACTTGAGTTGCGGGGGGGGCTTTACACGTGTCCTCCAGGTGCAAGGCCCAGGCAGAGCTGCGCTGCTTCCGCCACTCCTGGTGGTCTCTTCGAGCGTTGGCGCTTCTTCCACACGGCCAAGGAGAGAGTCAACTTTGCTTTGCTTCTCTCTCTCTCGCTCTCACGAGGCGGAGGCGGGGGCGCGCTCTTACGGCGCGCTCTTTTTGCTGCCCCGCGCCTGAGGCCTCTCGGCACGTGCCTGCACAAGGCCGCCGAGGAAGAAGAGGAGGAGGAGGCGGAGACAGTGGCATGGCCATGGCCCTCCCCGGTGTGGCCATCCTTCAGCGGAGCTCCAGCACGTTGCATCGCTCCGAAAGCTCGGGCTGAGATAGGCTGAGATGAAGGCTCATCGAAGCATGGCTTCGAAAAGACCTAACTTACAAAGCTTGAGCCCAGGCAAGGATTCGGCATCTCGTAAAATTCTGCGAGCTCTTCCCAGTATCCGTGACCCTCTCTCTGTGCCGGTCCTTTGCATCTGCTCGCAGTGCCGTGTCCTCACGGTCGCCGCCGCCCCACAATTTGGCCAGTCCTTTGGGCCGTCTCGAGCAATGCAGGCCCTCACCTCCCCGTGGACGGTTCTCAGCGGATGTGCTGCGCTTCCCCGCGATTTCAGAAGGCGAACCTTCCTCATCCCGCTTTGGGCTTGGGTTGAACCTGCACATGCCACCAGAACTCCGAGCTTTCAGAGAAGACCGGCAAAGCCAGCTTTGCCAGCCAGCCTTCGGTTTCGCCTTCGCCTTCGCTTGAGGCGAATCGGTCGGTGTCTTGTCACCCTCCTCTCTTCGGAGCTGCCGCCGCATGTATCATGACAGCCAGTGCAAGAAACGTTCACTCCTCGCCATCAGCTTGGGCAGATCGATCTCCTGATATGACGGGTGCCACTGAACAGGCAAACTGCTGTGCAGATGACACCGCAGGCAACAACAGTGCCATTGGAATGGCAAAACGGTAGACGGAGGCAGCGGCTTCAAATGAGCATCCCAAACGAACCGTCAATGCTGATTGATGGACAACGCAAGACCATCCGGCTTGCCACAAACAGACGAGAAATGACGCTTAAACTGACTTTAGCATCCCAGTTTCGCTGAATCTGTCGGCGCTGTTTTGGCCTGACGAAATCACCTGTCACAGCCGCTGCTCGAAAGCTTCCGATCGCTTGCTGCTACGTTATCGCTGCTGGTGACTTGAGTTGCCCACACAAAGTCAACTGATCGTGCTCGTTGTACATCATCGTCAACAGGCTCAGCAGCCGGTGAAAGAGGTACATGGCTCACTGCAGACCCCTGATCGTTGGCGCAGGAATGTGACGCTTGGGCATCTTTCCAGAGTGCCTGTTCTTCGGGCTTCATGGTCATGTCCCTTGCTACAGCCAGTCCGACCCAACATCCATCAAAAGTGCATGTTCTCCACACTACCCGGGTCAACTGTTTTGTCTTCTGCGGCAAGCTCCACTCCCCCTGATTTGGGCATCCGGCATATCACAAATGCAGGACGGCTGCCGATCTCTACATCACATGTCAATGCCTCGTCTACGAGTCGTACGAGTCGAGTCCACAACCAAGATTCTAAGCATACTTCCCGATACAAAGCGTCACTGCTCTTTCGGACAGTGCCCTCTTAAGCTCCCTCAAAGAGACTGAAGAGGGCTAGAGCACAGAGCACCCTCGCATCCTCGCCTCAAAAGAGACCATAAAATGGCCGCTAAAAATCGTGGGCTGCTTAAAGAAGCGAGAAGACTCGAGGGCATTGGGGTGAGACTCTGCCAAGCGTGGGCGTGCTCTTTAGAGAACGCATCAGCGCATCGTGGCGTCCGCGTCACTGCACGTAAGACCACCCCTTAAGTCTTGTACATAAAGCATCTAGCGCCTCTAAGGTCTAAGAGTCTAGGGTATTGCGAGAACACGTGAATCTCTGGCGAGTGCGCGCATGCCTGGCTGCGTGCTGTGCCCTGCGCGCTCATGGCATTCAAGCTCGGAACATCGTTTGCCAAGCTCCCAAACGTCCGCCTCACACTCAGGACTCAAGTAGACTCTCCTCCGAAAGCCAGACACATCCTCCAGCGCCTCACAAAGGAAGACCTCCCGGCACGTCAGGGACCTCATCAAAGCACAAGGCTTGCGCGGGTTTTGCGAATAAGACACCGGTTTTTCTGGCGCCCAAGCTGACTTCGCCGTCGCTCATCATCCCGGCATCCCGGAAGTCCGTCGGGCCTGAAGCAGAGTGTGAAGCGAGCTCTGCGACAAGGCGTGCCGGTTCTGAGCTGCGTCCGAGTGGCTGTTGAGCCCAGGGCCGGACTTGCCCTCCTCAATTCGACAGGAGGCTGAAAACGGCTGAGCACGGTTTCAATTTCTAGTTTTTGTATGTTTTTGTTCTTCCCCTCGGCGGCCTCCGGCCGCTTCTCGTTCACCAGATCGATGCCCTGAGCGCGAGGATGCGACACCATGGGCCCCCCTTTTTCCCGGTGTCTCCTGGGCGTGGCTGAAGAGCTCCAGCTCAGAGGTCAGTCGCTCCTGCTCAGTCTTACGGTCGCCCAGCTGGGTGAGTCAGATTTCATCGGTCCTTGCCCGCAAGGAGAAGCCCTGGTGCCAGCTTGTGGCCTTAAAAGCACGTCCGCTTACCCCTGCCCCGTGCCCATCCGTCCCGTACCTCTTTTACCAGCTTCTGAGCCACACGCCGGGGCAAACGCCCTTTAGACGCACGACCGTCTCGTTCTCCTGCTGTTCAAGCAGCAAGCCCCTCTGTGATAGGCGGTTCTGGACCGTCCGCCCAGTCCTGTCTGAGAGTCTTGAACATGCGGGCCATCCTGGCAAGGCATGGCAAGGCATGGCAAGCGGCAACTCTCTCGCCCGACCCGGCCACCCGGCATGGCGCGGCCTTGCTATGGATCGCACTTTCTTTCGCATTCGGTCTCGAACCTCTGGGTCGACCTGGCACTGGAGAGCGCTTTGGCAGCGGAGGCCACCGTGGCCCTACCGTGCCTTTGAACCACTTGCTTGTTGTTCCCTTGCATTCTCGCCCGCGATCAACGCCTCTGGAGCATAAAGCGCAGGTGGCAGAAAGCAGGAAGGTGCTGGCAGTTGGTGGCAGCAAAGGTCCGCGCGGCCAAGCGTGTGGCCATGTCCACCGTCTGGCACAGGTATTCGAATGCTATGCACGCAAGCTCCCAAGCACAGGACGTGGCGCCTGATTCTGGTCGTCGGTCAGGGAGGCCTGGAAAAGAAGGGCTGGGAAGGATCAACTGCGGCCGCAACTCCGAGAGATGCCGAGAGCCTCAGGGCATCTGAGGGCCTAGCTCTGTGGTTGACCCAGTTGGAGTCAGGCAGAGTGGGCAAGGACTTGGACAACCGGGCTTCTTTGCTTTGCGCTTCAAAAAACACCTTCGCATCGCTCTAAGTCTCGGTCAGAGTCATCGTCGGAATCCACCGCTCCGGCTGCGGGCTGCAGGATGTAGTAAAGCATCTCCGTCACCTTTGAGGGCAGTCGGGGCTCGGCTAGTGATCCCCGCCGCCCAGGCCGAGCCTTTTCGATGACGAAGGGCATGCTCCACTGGAAAACATCCATGAAGTTCGGCCTCACACCAAGACAGGGCCCAGGCCTATCCCTAAAAGCATCAGTGACTGTATTCACGGGAGTCTCAGAAACAGGCAGGTGATAGGGGTGCCTTGGTTGTTCCGATATGTTTTCCCTGTCCTCTTGACATGTGCAATCATGTGCAACATGACCACTCCGATGCGAGCTGGGGAGGGGGCGGTGAGCAGTTGAACTGCAAGATGTTCAAGGTGCTGTTGTCAAACTTGAGAATGGCTCCCTTTGCAGCGAGGCTGACTGCCTGTGAATGGAGACGAAAATCTTGCAAACCAGCCTTGTTGTTGTAAACATCGCAATAATTCGGCGCGGAGAAAATTGTTATGACCTGGGCCCACGGCCGTGCAACTGTGCCGCTGGGTCCGTTGCGCCCCGCATTGCTTCAGATTCTGCCATACGGGATCATGTCAATGTGGGTATCCCGAAGACAGAATGACTTCACAAGTAAGGCAAGCACAAGAGGAAAGCCTGTGCTTGGATTCGTCTTGTGCATTTTGTAGCCTTCCAGTGCTGGCTGTGCGCTGCGACGGAGATGCGTCCGATCGCGCCTTCGAGTTGAGCTTCGTGAGCCCGAATGATCGACCTCTGAGCTTTCAGATCTTTCTGGGGAGCACCCTCTCCGCGAATAAGTCTCGGGCAACAAGTTGTTCTTCTTCAGAAATGTCGTCGCTCCGTCAAAACCTGGCGCAGCTTCCCGGCTTCCGCGGCTTGCGGAACAGGAACGCCGTGCGACAAGGCATGACAAGGCCATGCCAGCGTTGCTGTAGAAATACGAACAGCCGCGGACCTGACGTGTTGCCGATGCAGGCGCTCTCGAAGCTGCTTGAGCGATGCCGGCCTCGTTCGGCACGAAAGGCGGGCCGCCCTTCTTGGCGCTGGGCCGCCTGAGACACGCGCAGGGACTGGGCAAGCATGGCCTCTGGGAGCCTAGAGCACCTAGTGCCGTGGGCACAGCGCAACTCTTGGGAGACGGCTGTTCTCCGTCTTTGGGTTCTAGCGGATCCGACCTGACTCCGGATGAGCTGGAAGCCCTCTGGCAAATTCACGTCTCCAAGCGCGGGACCACAACAAGTCACCTAAGATGCTGAACCAAAAGGCAGGGCAGAGCTACAGGTGAACGCATGCGCACGGATTGTCAGCCAAGTGGCATAAGAGGCCTTCCTTTGGAGGCTCAGTGAAGCGATTGATCTTTGTAATGGCCTCGACTCAGCACAGGCAGCTGAGAGTGACGTGAGAAAGACGCTGGCTGCCTTGACGTTGCCAAGGTCAGGAGAGAGGCCGCCATGAACACAAAGAAACCTCAGCCCAATCAAAGCGAGCCATGACACGCCTTGAGCATGGCGAGGCGGCGAGGCGGCGAGGCGCCGGCTTGCCATTGATGGTGGCTGCTAAAGGCAGGTTGTCAAAGGAGTCCTTGGCTCAAAGCGGGCCTTCGGCCTTCCACCCAACGGACAAGCTGAGGCCAGGTCCATGAACGCATTGTAAACTCCGATGTCGTACTTGTACTCACACTCCTTGATGACTCGAGTCAAATCCCCAGCCACACCAAGCGCCCCACTCGCTTTACTTACGAAGCTGAAGTGAGCGAAACCGCGCTTGCACAAGGGCGAAGTGGAGACCCGACGATGCTCATGATGCTGGCCTCTTGGTGCCAGCATCGACGAAAGCCCCAGGGCATGGAACCATGAAACCACTCCAAAGTTTGACGCCCCAAAGCCCGAAGCCCTTTCCTCACGGAAGTTGAAGAACGACGTCATCTGTCGGCATTCGTGGTTTCCTCGGAGCATTCGTACCTGGGCCGGCGGAGTTGGGGCTTGAGCTCAGTTCTTCGTCAAGTGCCGTCCAGTATCAAACTGTGGCTTTGACGCTGCCGCTCAGTTAAGACCGGAGCCTGCTTAGGGTATTTGATCTTCAAGGAGTACAGCACGGCAACGACCTCGCGCGCAAAAAGAGCTGTGAGTCAAGAAACTCTGCAGAGCTGCACGGATGGCCTCGACGGAGAAGGAGCCACCTGAAGCTGCTGATTTCGGTTCTGACACTCTCGCGAACGCTGAGATGCTCTCGGCTCTAACTGCACCAAGCCACGATCGACATAGTCTCCTAGAAATATGTACTGCGTCTCACCAGGCTGCCCACCAACCTGAAACTTGACAGCTGCGATGCTCTGCACTGTACGACCGACGATTGCACCCCTGCACACCTCCAACAACTTCACAAGGTCGTAATACTGACCTCAAGTTCAAGGCTTTTCGGAACGCTCATGTCCGCCGGTCACAGGATGTCTGGGATGCTGGCCGTGGATGTCTCCAACTACTGTAATGGGATCGTTGAGTTTCAACCTGTTGTGACGGAAAACCAGAGAGCAGTGAGGAGTGAGGATGGCCACTCTCACCGGGCGCTGTGCAAGTTGGGTTCATCCTTGAACAGGTCTGACGCCTGCTGTTGAAAGCACACATCGAATACCCACAAGCTACACCGGTTGAAGACAAGCTGCCTTGCTTATTATGTCCAAGAGGAGCTCTTGAGACAGAGCTCCTTCCAAAATCCTGCAGTCGGTCATCGTCGACGTATCGGACTGCGCCGTCTGTGTTCCCGCAGATTGAAGCTTGGGAAGCTGGCAAATGCTCCATCAGCACCGACATATTTGGCTCACCATTCCTGGCTACAGCTCAGCGGAAACTGCTGCATCACTCTCTTTCTGTGCACAGTCCACAGCCGAGCCAGCACCACTTCTCGTAAAAGGTTTCTGCAGTCAACAGCTGGGCGGGTGGCAAAGGCACCTGACAGCGGAAGGGGAGCTAGCGCAGAGCAGGACTGTCAGAGCTGTGTTGAATTCCTCTGCCTCTTTCACCGGCCGATCTTGCAACGGATCCTGCAAAAAGCGAGCAGCGAACGGCACCAGCAAAGGAAGGACCCTTGCCGGACAGATCCTGCAGCCGTTGCGGCGGCTTCCCGGGCTCCGGAGGCGTCGGACTTGGTGTCGCTCTGCGAATTTCCCATGTTCTTAGGGCTCCAGGCTTTGGTGTTTGCTGGGCTCGCGGCGGCATTCCCGCTGCCTGATGTCAGCGGCTGTTGGACCAGATCTTCATGCGATGATGCAACTCGCAGAAAAGGACCCCTGAGGCCGCATCTGACCCAACTCGCAGTCGGGCAAATGATTAGGGACATCCATTTGCTACAGCCAAAAGGTTGCGGGTTCAGCAGTTAGATGCCTCAGTGCTGACATGGAAGGAAGGGAAGGGCAGACCGAAGACATTGAAGACATGTGATTCTCTCCGCACCTTTTTTTGGTCACGATGGGACAGCGGCCTCAGGTCCAGCTGGGTGCCTCGCAGCCAGCGAACTTCAGACATCGCCGAAAGAACTCTGAGACTGGGATGGGAACCGCTCGGAAGCCGTTGCCCTTGCCGTAGCCTCGAGAGACTCCGCCCAAAAAGGAAAGCGCAACTGCCCGCATCTGCCCGCCACCGGCCGCCTCCGTAGCCCGGCCTGGGAGAGCAGAGAGAGCGCAGGGAGAGCGCGGGTTTCGACGTCCCGGATTCTTCCCTTCGAGTCTTCTGCCCCCGAGCCTCCACCAGCCCTTCTGCGGCATTGATCGGGGCCTCGCAGGACGGATCGGCGTTAAGTTGCGAACTCGCTTGCACACTCCCCTCCCTGCTGCCCGCTCGGGAAGCTCGGCGGCACAGCACCTCTCAGGTGCGATGCACGGCAGTCTCAGCACAATTGGAACGGTGCCTCGCCTTTGTCCTTTGGCAGGACAGGCCTCTGCAGGGCCTCTCGACGACCGATGCCCAATCAGCACGCGAATCTCGATGCAGCAAAGGTCACCAGACCAAGACAGGCCTCCATCACCGGCGTCTGCGGCGTCTGCGGCGTCTCGGGTGGCCCCGGCGGCACCGGCGCTACCTGCGACTCGCCGGGCGGCTCGCCCGGTGGCTCGCCAGGCGGCGGCTCGCCGGGCGGCGCCTCGCTCGGCGGTGGCGATGTGGGCTCCGGCGGGGGCCTCTAACAACGAGTAGAGACAGCAGAGATCAAGCGAAGTCATGCCATGGCCTCAACACTCGCAGCCGTACCGACACCTTCCGGCCCTCTTTCAACTCTAGCTCCAAGCGCCTCCGACAGAACCATTGCCACGCTCTGTATAAGTGTAAGTCCATGTTCCTGCCTGCGTAGGTTGGCAAAAGCTTCTGAAAACTCCATGCCGGGACCTGACTCTGTGAGTTTTACGGCCAGACATTGCATCGCTAGGATGGTTACGGGTACTTCTGGCGCGCACGCAAGCTGAACTCCATCAGAGGACCCTCCACTTCGACGGATTTGGCCTCAAAGTCCAGCGGCTCCGGCTTGCAAGAATGGCCACATCTGTCAGATCTCGTCGGACGAAAACTTTTTGCATTGGCACGAGTCATGTTTGCTCTTTGCGGCCGCATGCCTAAGACCACCCTCCATTCATACGACAAGATTGAGGCCGGTTTGGGATGTGAAACAGCTTTTTTTGCCTATAAGCCATGCAGCTCAGGCCTGCAGCTCCGTCGTTGCTCAATAGGGCGCATAGCCTTTTCCGTAGCCACCACCGTATCCGATCGCAGCTGCACCGTATCCTCCCCCTCCCCCTTTTCCACCGAAGCCACCTCCTCCATATGCTCCACAGCCGCCACCGCCGTAACCACCCTTGCCACCGCCGCCATAGCCACCACAAGCACCACCGTAGCCGCCGCCATAACCACCTCCGTAGCCACCGAAACCTCCCATGCCATAGCCGCCCTTGCCAAAACCACCGTTGCCGAAGCCTCCAAATCCACCAAAGCCTTTGCCAAAGGCTTTGCCTTTGCCCTTCGGCATGGACACGATTGGCTTGCAATCAATCCACTTGCCCTCGAACATGTTGGAGTTGTAGTTGTCCAAGACGAGCTTGGCGGAGGCTACGTCCTCAAAGGTCACGAATGCAAAGCCCTTGCACTGACCATCTTCTGCCATCTTGACGGTGACTTCTCTGACTGCTCCGAACTGGCCGAAGTAAGCCATCACCGAGTCATCAGTGGCGCTCTTCGGCAATGCCCCGACAAAGATCTTCGGGTTGTTCGGGTCAATCGAACCCTTACCTGCGCCCTTGGCACCGGCTGCTGGTGCAGAGCCTGGTGGCATGGCCAGCTTGCAGTCTATCCACTTGCCGTCCATCGAGTTGTTGTCCTTGTTGGCAACAATGTTCTGAGCTACGGTTGGGTCCTGAAAGGTGACAAAGCCAAAACCTCTAGAGACGCCCATGGGGTCGACCTTCACCTCGACGTTGGTCACTGCGCCATGCTGCATGGCCCAAGCTTGCAAGGCTTCCTGTGAGCAGCTCTTGGGGAGGCCTCCCACAAAGATCTTGCCCGCATCGTCGCCCATGGCTGTGGAGGCGTTTCGCAGCGTTCGCCTCGAAGCTGCACAAGAAGACCTCTCTGAGCCGCAACAGCACGCGGCGCGCGGCGGAATCTCTCGGGAAGGGACTCCGGGAGGCAGAGGTCCTACGCAGGGTCTCCTGTGAACAGAACGGTGGAGAGCTGGGCATCAGGCCGTCCTGGATGCAGCCTGAATGCTTTGCGTTTTGTGCTGCCCACAGCCGAGCAGTTCCCGCAGCCAGGCCTCCGCGGCGGGCCTTTTCCGCGCTGCAGGAGCCTCGACCTCCGGCCTCGCAGAGAAACCCACCTCTCCAACGTTCCGTACCGGCCATTCCAGCCGGGGCGGGAGCGTTGGAGCGGCCGGAGCCGGAGCAGCCGGAGCAGCCGGAGCAGCCGGAGCAGCCGGAGCCGGGGACAGCGGCTCAGCCGCGCTGGCTCGCTCCGCGCTCATTGCATCGCCTCAACACGGAAGTCACACTGAGCTCGGCTGAGCTCGCCCTCCCCGGCCCTCAGCCTGAGCCTCGTCTGCGGACCATGCGCAGAGGAACGTTGGAGATGGAAGGCTCTTCGCCTTCCCAGAGGACCTCACAGGCACAAAAGGGCCACTTTGCGCATGCGCGCATGCGCGCATGCGCGAGCCTGAACCTCGTTGTTGGGCAGGAGCTCTCGCACCTAACAAACGTGCACAGTCACAGTCAAGAAGCCTTTGGCACTTACAAGTTCTGCCTTCGCTGGGAACCACTCGTCTCCCCAACCAGCACATTGGGCCTTGGCGAGTCGAGACAGAATCGATCCGGGGTGCCCCATCACTTGTGTCTTTCTTGTGTCACTTGTGCTTTTGTTCGTGTGTCGCTTGTGTCTTTCTTTTCTGTGTCACCTGTGTCTTTCTACTTCCTGCGAAGCAAGCGTCTCGAGCGAAAACCCTTTTGTGCTAGCCGTCCACGACTAGCAAGAAAACTTCCAGGATTTTGTCCTTCTTTCATTCGGGCTTCGGTCTGGGTTTACTCCATTTAGGGCTTCGGCGCCAGGGTTTACTCCTTTTAGGGTTCGGGCTTCTCTCAAGCTTACTTTTTATAATTTTTCTAGACTTCCGGGGTCCGCTTACTCCTTTTCAGGGTTGGGGCCTTCTTTCATTAGGGTTTCGGTCTGG